TCAGGCTATTTCTAGAGAGAATCTATAAATCAACCACCCGTCCTTGCATGGAATATTGCTGTTATATATGGTACTCCTGCTGTACGTCTCGAGGTCCTCGACAGAATCCAGAGACGAATATGCAAGATGATAGGTCCTGATCTGCCGTCTAGTTCACAATCGCTATCTCACAGACGTGCTGTGAACACCCTCTGCCTCTTCTACAAATATTTTCACGTCAACTGTTCCGGCGAGCTACTGTCCCTGGTCCCCGGATGTCATGAATTTAAGCGTGCTACTAGGTTGGCATCTCGATCCCACCCTTTTCACTGTCAAAACGGTTAATTGTAACGGTCTCTTCTACTCAAACGGCTTCTTCTCCCGCACTTCCCGTCTGTGGAACTCCCTTCCTCTTACTTGCTTCCCCGATGACTATAATCTTCAAATATTCAAGTGTAATGTCAATCGACATCTGACACCCTGAGCTTGTTCCCCGTCCTCCTCTGTATCCTTTCCTCAAACACGTGGCAAGCCTCTCAGTATTTTTATCTCTACTTCCACGGAAAGTATTCGGACGAACTGCATTCCTTGGTTCCGTCAGGTGTGACCTTCACGGTCAGGGCACGACATGCCACTTATATAGCAGCAAAACAGCCACATTACCCCCGTATTTCATCAGGGAGAAGTAAGTTCCACATCGACCATCTTCTTCGCGCGAACCACTGCTCTATGGAACCGGCTCCCAAGAGGATGTTTCCCCGATCGCTACAATCTTAACCTGGTCAAAGTCTAGGGTTATTATATTCTCCACATATCCGCATCGACTAGCTCCTTCGCGCGAACCACTTTTCTGTTCAACCGACTCCCAAGGGGATGCTTCCCAGATGACTACACTCTTAACCTGTTCAAGTCTAGGGTTAACCGTTATCTTTCCCACATATCCGCATAAACTGTGCCTCTTGCTCTGTAACCCTCTACCTGATTTGTGAAACCGACTCCCAAGAGGATGCTTTCCCGGTCGCTACAATCTTAACCTGTTCAAGTCTAGGGTTGACCGTTATCTTCCCCACATATCCGCATCGACCAGCTTCTGCACGCGGGCCACTGGTCTGTGGAACCGACTCTCAAGAGGATGTTTCCTCGATCACTACAATCGTAACCTGCCTAGGGTTAACCATAATCTTTCCCTCCTATCTGCATAAAAGCCCTCTTATTCTGTAACCCTCTACTTCGAATGAAACCCGAACCTTTTACAGGATGAACCACGCTGTTAAACACACACACACACACACACACACACACACACACACACACACACACACACACACACACACAGACGCACACATACACACACACACAAACCCTCCCTTCTGATTTCTTGCTTCCCTGTTAACTACAATCTTCAAAATTACAAATGTAACGTCAATCTCCACTTCTGTCTTCCTGAAGCCTGCTCTTTTATTCTCTTTTTTTCTCACTAAAGTCTTCTCTTTCTCTTACAATCCCTGTACCCACCGTGGGCTAGAGCCTTGGTTGGCAACCAGTCTACTGCGGGAAAATCTTCCGCCTATTTCAGTCATGAATGGAAAGAGACATGATTGCTCCAGCTACGAACTTTTTCTCTTCTCTCCCCCACCCTGCCAGCCATGGGTTGAATAACAGGAAAATCTGGGTCCTGTAGCCTTGGTTGGCAACCAGTTTATTGCAGTATAGTAATGGCAACCTACTACGAGAAAATATTCTGTCTGATCAGTCATGAATCGAAAGTGACATAATCGCCCCAGCAACGGATTCTTCGCCTCCTCCCAGCTATGGGTCGAATAACAGGACAAAATGGGTTCTATAGCCTTGGTTGGCAGCCAGTCTACCGTAGGAAAATCTTCTCCTTGGTCAGTCATTTAACTCACTGTTTCGAAACCTAGTGATTTCTCATTTTCAACATGACTACTCGTTCCCGAGTATGACCATCTGATCAGTACTATTTCTGTTTCTTCCAGCAGAAATTTAATTTTCTTATATGAATTAATGTCATGAAAGAGTTTTGGTTGGTTGATTTTGTTTCGCGGCATATCAACACCTCCGTGGGTTATTTAATGCCGAAATTTAAATATTTTGAATGCAGTTTTATTGCTTCAGCTAAATATATTTTGAACGCAATTGTATGCCTTCACCAAAAGAAAAACTTTATTGTTGCTAATTTTACTATAGATATGTAGTGTTGCTAATTTTGCCATAAACATATATGTATTGTTGCTAATTTTACTATAAATAGATATGTATTGTTGCAAATTTTACTACAAATAGATGAGTATTGTTGCTAATTTTTACTATAAATACGTATATATTGTTGCTAATTTTACTATAAATAGATATGTAGTGTTGCTAATTTCACTATAGATATGTATTGTTGCTAATTTTACCATAAATAGATATGTATTGATGCTAATTTTACTATAAATAGATGAGTATTGTTGCTAATTTTACTATAAATAGGTATATATTGTTGCTAATTTTACTATAAATAGATATGCACTGTTGCTAATTTTTCTATAAAGAGATATATATTGTTGCTAATTTTATTATAAATAGATATATATTGTTGCAAATTTTGTTATAGGTATGTATTGTTGCTAATTTAAAAAAATTCGTAATCACCTCAAGAAGATTGGAGCGTAGAACGGCAGACATATTTTTAATTTACTTGTTTAAAAGTTATTTAAATGGATACTTAGGTGGGAGTAAATGCTCTTTTTTGATTTATTTATAAGAAGGTGGTATGTGGGTGAGCGATCTAAGATACGTTTTACTCTAGGAGACGCAAGTTCGAATCTTGTCGGGGACGCATATTTTTCTAACAGGACTTCTCGAATATTAAGGCCGATACATGTAAATTTATAAATAAAAACGGCATCTACTCAAATAGGAGATTAAAATAAAAATTAAAAAAAAAAATATAATTATATATATATATATATATATATATATATATATTTACATTATATATTTACATTATTCGGACTGTTATCTTCATCTTCATTGCCATATTCACAAGGTTTTGGCCCTTGTACGCTCCGGCCTTCTTCAGGTGACTGATATTTAGAAGTGAACCCTTTATTTCGTCCACCGGGTTAGATTGTTCTTGTTCCAACGTTGTGAATTTGGCAATGAAGATGAGGATAACAGTCCAATAATGTAAATAATGTAAATACCTCATCTCAGAGTTGTAGACAGATATTGAAGGATCGGTACGGACCCGATATGCCAAAAATATGGAGACAAATAGAAATGTCACACCAAAAGCTAAATAAAAAACGGCCGAAAGGTTGTGAATATGGCAATGAAGATGAGGATAACTGTCCAAATAATGTAAATAAACATAATACCTTATCTCAGAGATATAGACAGATATTGAAAGATCGGCACGGCCCCGATTTGCCAAAAATATGGAGACAAATAGGAATGTCACATTAGAAGCTAAATAAAAAAAGTGCGTACAACGGCTGAAACGTTGTGAATATGGCGATGAAGATGAAGGTAACAGTCTGAATAATGTAACTAATCATAATACCTCATCTCAGAGATATAGGAAGATATTGAAGGATCGGTACGGACCCGATATGCCAAAAATATGGAGACAAATGATATGTCACATTAGAAGATAAATAAAAAGAGCGTACAACGGCTGAAACGTTCTGAATATGGCAATGAAGATGGGGGTAACAGTCTGAATAATGTAAATAATTATAATACCTCATCTCAGAGATATAGGCAGATATTGATAAAGGAGAGATAACAGATGGGAATAAATGAGTGATGAAAAAAATGAGATAATAAAAAAGAAAGAAAACAAAACAAAAAAGAGAAGGTTGACTCGCTAAATATAATGGAAAACAAATTTTAAAAGATGGCAAGAAATAAAAGAAAAAAAACAAACAAGAAAAAAACAAAGAAATAAAATAAAATAATCGCTGTAAAATAAATAATACCAGGAAATACTACACCGGAAATTCAAAAAAAATATATCATGAACCTCAAATTTGCGTTGGTCACTTCCGGTGGCTAGAGTCATGCGCACTAAACAATGTAAATCACCCCATCTGTTCTTTTCACGAATAAAGGTCAAGAGCATTTATCTGAGGTAATACCATTTACTTATTCTTTCTTTCTTTCTTTCTTTCTTTCTATTTTTTGTATTGTCTTTACAAATCATTTTTCTTTCTTTTTTTGGATATTCCATTTTTCTTTTCTTTTTTCTTTTCAAATTCTTACTTTCTTTCCTTTTCTGTTCTTTTTTGAATTTCTGTTTTTTTCTATTGTTTCTTTACAAATGCTTTCTTTATTTATTTCTTTGTTTCTTTCTTTTTTTCTTTTTTCTTTCTTTCTTTCTTTCTTTCTTTCTTTCTTTCTTTACTTCTGCCATTTTTCATTCACTGTTTTTTTCCTTTGTTTGTTTGTTTGTTTCTTTCTTTATATATATATATATATATATATATATATATATATATATATATATATATATATATACATATATATAGTTTAGTGAGCCAGACAAACCTACCCAGGTTTCACCCTAAACGGATCGTCAAAGAAATCTGGGTGAAACCTGGGTAGGTTTGTCTGGCTCACTAGGTGTATCTAGGTCTGATGACAATTCCATTTCAGTAATTGACAGAACGTGGTCTGAAGGAGGTGCCTGAAGAAGGAACTTGTTGAGAGCTGCAAGGGATAGAGGTCGGAGAGACATGATCGCCTACGCCCTGAAATGACATGGCACGTAAAAAGAAAGCAAACCCCCCTTGCATGCCAGTGGCACTCCCGCTTTGCTTGGGGTGAAATGCTTTAAAAAATAATGGTTTCATGATACAAGACTTGCTGATTATTCCTTAGCTGACTGAGGATTTATAACTTTCCCAATGGTAATCGCGTGTAAGTGAATATGACGAATTCAAATGGAATTTGAACTCGGTTCTCCGATGAACAATTCCGAGCCATTATCCGTTGCACCCACTCCACATCCAACCTTACAGCACCTGGTTTTCCGAAGCGGTCACCCATCTAAGTACTGACCCTGCTCGACGTTGCTTAACTTCAGTGATCGTACGGGAACAGGTATTCAAGCGTAGGTGGCCATAAGACATCGTGGTTCAACTATTAACAAACACTGATGGCGAATTATCAGGCATATTGGTAAACGTCAATGGACACTACTTAAATTGACCGGTTAGTACGTAATAAATAAGGTACTCGGACATTTGGTTGACGGACATTTAACCGAATGGACATTTGACCGACGGACATTTGGTTGACGGACATTTAACCGAATGGACATTTGACCGACGGCCATTTCATCGACGGACATTTAACCGAATGGAAATTTGGCCGATGGACATTTGTCCGACGGACATTTACCGAATGGACATTTGTTCGTCGGACATTTAACCGAATGGATATTTGGCCGATGGACATTTGGCCGTCGGACATTTAACCGAATGGACAGTTGGCCGACGGACATTTAACCGAATGGATATTTGACGGACGGACATTTAACCGAATGGATATTTGGCCGATAGACATTTGGCCGACGGACATTTAACCGAATAGACATTTGTTCGTCGGACATTTAATCGAATGGATATTTGACCGATAGATATTTGACCGATAGATATTTGACCGACGGACATTTAACCGAATGGATATTTGGCCGATGGACATTTACCGAATGGACATTTGTTCGTCGGACATTTAATCGAATGGATATTTGACGGACGGACATTTAACCGAATGGATATTTGGCCGATAGACATTTGTCCGACGGATATTTAACCGAGTAGACATTTGTTCGTCGGACATTTAATCGAATGGATATTTGACCGATAGAGATTTGACGGACGGACATTTAACCGAATGGATATTTGGCCGATGGACATTTGTCCGACGGACATTTACCGAATGGACATTTGGCCGACGGACATTTAACCGAATGGATATTTAGCCGAAAATGTGGTGGCGTACTTACATATATGTCACATTCTTTATCGTAATGTGCTACATATATTTAGATTTATTTACTGTATTAATTTAGAATTTTTTTTTCCGACAGGCTTTTTTTAAAAAATCTGTTCTGTATATAATATATTTTACTTCAAATATTACTGTAAGATGATAAGTATTTTGAGAAAAAAGCACATTTTACTACAGCAAAAATCTTAAGCTTTTACGATATGAAAGATCTTTCAATTTCCCTTTTAAAGATCATTATCTTAAAGGGATGAACTAGCTTTTATCTTATTGTTAAATACGAATTTAAATAATTAGCAGCTACTTTTTACCCAAATACACTCAAATATTCTTAAAAATACTAATTTCAATAAACAAATAAAAAAACGTATCTGTCTCTGAGATGAGGTATTAGGTACATTATTTACAATATTCGGACTATTGTCCTCATCTTTGTTGCCATATTTATCACAACCTTTCGGCCGTTGTACGCTCCGGCATTCTTCAGGTTGTTGGGATGTCCAACTGAACCATTTATTTCGCTCGTTGGTGTAGACTGTTCTAGTTCCACGTGCCATGTCTAATGGATGTGAGTTATCAGTTATCTCCTGTTAATTCACCTCTCCAAGTTCTCCACTGCCTTTACCAGGTATTGAACTCACACTGTCACTGGCTCTTTATCCACTGTGCCATGTGTTATAAAGGATCACTGGATCTGACCAACGCCTTTATCCACTGTGCCATGTGTCCTTAAGTTGGAATTTGGCTCCAGAAAGAAATATGTAGGCATGGCCAGTTGTATGTTGCATACTCAAGAGTAAGAAATTCTAAGAATTTATTCTTCGCTGTTAAAAAGGAAAAAAAGAATTTTTTTCTTAAAAAATATTGTTTACTATGAAGTCCTATAAAATGAAATTATATTAAAGAAATTATTAAATTGCGAAACAGGTTTTTGTCAAAGAATACTTCAAAACAAATCAGCTTATTTAAATTTCAACGGTTGGTTTGGGAAGTTGAACGAAACGAAGAGTTTGTAAATCTCGACAAAAAGAAAGAATTAAATTCGAATTAGCGTGTTGCAAAGAGAAAATCTAGATTCTAAACAGGGTCCCGGATGTAAACAGTGTCCCGGATGTAAAGATAATCACCAGGTTCATTACGATAGCTATCATAAAGCTATCTTTTTTTTATTATTTTTTGCGAAACGGCAAATAGCATCGTAACAAAGATTTTGTTTTGAAAGAATTTTACAAATTTCTATCTATCTATCTATCTATCTATCTATCTATCTATCTATCTATCTATCTATCTATCTATCTATCTAAACACTTTTTCTTTCTATCTATCTATCTATCTATCTATCTATCTATCTATCTATCTATCTATCATGAGAAGAACTGCGTATAAATAATAAAAAAAGACAAATAGAAAAAATGCCAGTAAAATGTAGAAAAAATAAGTTTTGAAAGAATTTTACAAATATCCCTTTTCGGACTAAAAGTTGTTTTGGGAAGTTCAGAAAATTCTTCAAATCATTTTGAGATATTTTAAAATAAAAAACATACTTGTCGAGAAAATGCGACCGGAAAATCGAGGCAATGTTGATTGTAATCTATCTATCTATCTATCTATCTATCTATCTATCTATCTATCTATCAGTTTGCATTATCTATCTATAGATCTATCTATTTATAACTATCTATATATTTATCACAGACTGTATTATCTGTCTCAATCTTTTCGTATCTATCTATATATATATGTATTTCAGTCTGTTCATATCTATCTATCTATCTATCTATCTATCTATCTATCTATCTATTTTCGCGTCTCTCACTCTTTTAGTATCTATCTATCTATCTATTTTCGAATTTTTCCCTATGTTAATATCTATCTACCCCCTCTCTCTATATATATATCTATCTATCTTCGCATCTCTCATTATGTTAGTATCTCTCTCTCTCCCCTCTCTCTCTATCTCTCTTAATCCCGTCTTACCTATCTTTTTCAGTTTCGTCATACCTGTCACTCAATCTTCATAGCCTGCCCTCTAGCAAGTTCTCTCTCTCTCTCTCTCTGTCCCTCTCTCTGTCGCTCTCTCAAGTAAGCTTTCTCGATAGCTATCTTAACAAGAGCCTTCACTTCTGATGGAAACCTTAAACTTGTTTTCTGTTTTTTTTTCTTTTTTTTTTTTTTTTTTTTTTTTTTTTTTTTTTTCATTCATAAACACAGAAAACGGCAAATCAAGTGCGATGCACTAAACTTGCTATATTTTTAGTTTTGCCGGCACAGGTGAGAGCTGCGGCCGACGTGCTGTTGTCAAAAACTCAGCTGAAATGCAGAGCTGTCAGAATGAAATTCTATGCCGGCCGATTCGCTGACTTGCCTGATCAGAGAAGCTTTTGCCGCGGAAAAATGCACTAGCTTCCCCCCCAAACCCCCAATCATCCCCTCCCCGCTTCTGCAGCACCCGCTTCCTCAGTTCGGAGGGAGAAGCTCTCAAGCACCCCCCTCCCATTCAACCGCCTCCACCTCCTCTTCCTCCTCCTGCTCCTCACACATGTCCACGTAAGCACGCAGTGACAACCTCCCCAGCACCTGCGTCTCGGACTCGCGCCTTTTATTCGCGAGGTATGACGAGATTCTCGTGCGAACCTTCCTCGATCTCTGCGCGTGTGTGTGTGTCTGTGTGCGTGCGTGTGTGTGTGTGTGTGTGTGTGTGTGTGTGTTTGTGTATGTGTGGCGGGATTCTTCGAGGAATGTACTAAATTTAATGGTGTACTGAAAGACCCACATATACATTATAGTTATCTACATAGTCTAGTTTAGGTCTGGCGCAAGGTCACAATTGGTGAGGATTACTAAACTGCAGAAATGTTAATCTCATAAAACATAGTATGCACACACACACACACACACACACACACACACACACACGCACACACACACACACACATATATATACAGTGTAACCCGGATATAAGAGACCCGGATATAAGAGAAACCCGGATATAAGAGAGATTTTCTCTGGTCCCAAATTAGAGCCTGTGTTAATGTAATAAAATAGACCAAACCCTGATATAAGAGACTTCTTCTCCGGTCCCAACAACTCTCTTATATCCGGGTTACACTGTATTTAAAGACCTTTTTATGTTTATACATTATATATATATATATATATATATATATATATATATATATATATATATATTAAAGGCTCTGAGAGCTGAGTTCAAATTCCAGTCCCATCGAATTCAGAGTTCAATTCCAGTCAAATCCTCTTTCCCGAGAAAGGTATGAATCCACTTTTTCTCCCCACCCGCCAGGTATGGCTACATAGCAGGACAGACTGGGTTCTATAGCCTTGGATGGCAACTGCTCTAGGAGAATGACAACTCTGAATTCAAAACCTGCGGAGGGTCATTTGGGGACCTTGTGGTATGTAGTGCACCAGGTCTCTGTATTCGGCCCTTCAAAAAGTGTGGATGGCACGAAACCTTCACTAATATAATCAAATCTCATTTGTTGTTTTCGGGCTGCCGGTTCTGCGGGTGAGTCGAGTATATATATATATATATATATATATATATATATATATACACACACACACCGGGTGTAACAGAAAAATTGTCCAAATTGCGTAACAGCATGGGATAATTGTCTATCTCATAAAATATTTGATATCTAAAAAACCACTAAACTAATTGAGTTTCTTTTTTCCGGGTTTTCAGATAAGACGTTTAGCCATCTTGACACCATTTGTCATAAGAATAACTGAAAAACCCTTTGAGTTACTGAGCTAGAAATGGAAAAGGTTAAAATCGTTTTGTGTCAGCCGCACTATATCTTCTCGACTGAGCAATGTTGAGAGGAAAAAGATCATTCAGTCCTTCAGCAATGGTACCAACATTCATACTCTGGCTTCCATCTTCAAAGTCTATTCAAGAACCATCAAGAGAATGGTGAATAAGTTTAAAAAGAGAGGGAACAGTAGAGAGGAAAAGTGGATCAGGAGTTCACAACAGGAAGAGGGATCATTATTTCAACTTAGATCTAAATACATACTTATTGCTCAAAGAATAGTTCAATAGTGTTATAAAAACCTCAGAGAATTCCAGTAAGATATCTTTA